CTTGGTGGGCCAAATTTGGCCCGCGGACCCCACTTTGGGCTCCTCTGTCCTAGAGGGATGCAGGTTAATCATAGTTGCTATAAAAAAGAGCATTATTACACTAAAAAGAAGATGAAGAAATATTAAACTTTAATGTTTATCGATAAGTYGAAGCATACTGTATTTAAAGTTTGTGTGGAATGGCAGTACTTTGTTTTATAGCAATTTGTTTAGTGGCTCAGGACAGGTTACTTATCTTTTTCTCATTACGTTGATTAAGCAATTAATGTCTTATAATAATTGTCTGCAACATATGCGTTTATAATCTCTCTAGCTCTCATTGTCACTTGTCAGGACAGTGTATGGTTTTTAMATTTTGTTTATTAAAGGGCTGATTTTATATTTGTTTTATGTGACTGCTATTTTTTTATTGTACTGTACAGCATTTTAGTCCTGTAGTTATTGAAGAAAAAAAATAAATTATGGTAAACACACAGAAGAAAATACATTTTACTTTTTTTAAATGTTTGGCATGTTCCCACAGAAAAACTGGGTGGGGTTTTCTTCAATCATTTTACAAATTTTAGGTGCTTATCTTGTAAAATTTAATTTCAGAAAAAAATGGTTGTGCATCTGCATCATGTAAATGAAATCACAAATTTAGCCATAATTACAAGTCCTGTCTGAACTGTGTTTCTTTTCTTTTTTCTTTTTGTTTTAGTAATGTAGTTGCTCAAAAGGATTAAAGTTTGTATAGAGATTTATTGTGGGTGGGACAAAAATAAACAATTTTACAACATTTTAAGTTAAATATTGACTGATTGTTGAAGTTAATGGTTATAAGAGAGCGTCACTGTGAGGTTGAGTTTTTAGTTTCTGGTGAACAAATGTGGAGGAGTTCACTGAAAATATGTGGGGAGAGATTGCTCCAACAGCGACCATCCTGTCTCATTTTAAAACTGAAAATTTTTTCAGGGATTTCATCATAATAACCCTTTCGGGGTGTGAACATGTCTGTACTGAAGGTACTGTACATTTCTTGGAGACCAATATTTCATGTTTTCGTCATTTTTCCAACATTTTTTAGGGAAATTTTCATTTTATCTACATTTCATAAAGTGTCCCAATAAAATCTATTTTAATATAAAATGCTAGCTGAGTAGAACTTYTGATTTGTAGTAGTAGTCACTAATACAGGACAGCTTATTTAATAAATGTTAACGTCAAAATCAGATAAACATGCGGTTTAGGTGGATCAGATCCATCTCTCTSCAGTGAGTGTAACTCCGTAGAGGAGGCGACTGATCCCTGAAAACATTGTAAATAATATTTCATCATTTAAATAAACAAATTATATGCAGATCTCTCTTTTGGAGCAGTCTTTCCTGCTATATTCAATTCAAAATATTTTTATCTTATCTTAAAACGGTCTAAAATGGGAATAAATAGTTAAAAACAAGCAAACAAAAAAAGTTTTTGCTTTCTCTTCATAMTGTTATCCGGTACAAGTCAACACAAAAAAACTCGACATTAGTCATGCTAGCAGACTGAAAAAACGCTCACACTCAGCAGGACAGTAGCTGCCCCATATTTGAACCTGACTTTACTGTGGGAAAAAAGAACTAAAATCTGGCTAATACTTTTTTACGGTGCATCCTAAATTGAAAGCAGATTATTTTTAAAATGAGTTGTCCCATTTCCTGTTGCTTCCAAGTTATGCATTCATAAAGGATTACATGGAATAGGAAAGAGGAGGAAGGAAGGAAACGCTGTTTGGTTCCTGGCCAGAAGCTACACACTCAGGACTCGATGTCCTTTTTTTCCACTGAGGTCAGAGCATTGACATTTCACATGGACGCTTTGACTTCTGCTCACTTTTCCTGCTTTTTCACTGCTTTTCTCTCCGGCTTCTGCTCTTCCGCCCGTTTCACTCAAAGGTCAGTCGTAATTAGCAGCAGCGTCGGGCCGTGTTTTGAAATATCCCCACGCTTCTAGTACACTGAAGCCACTGTGCACTTATTTAGTTGCATCGAGCGGTCATCGAATGACAGGGTAATGACGGTGCTGCTGAGCGTAGGCTGCAAACGAACACAAAGCTGTTCCTGAGGTTTCTCTGAAGGAAGTACTATGAGCGGTTCGGATTGTTGATGAAAAGGACGGCTGTAATAATACGGTACTTTTCAGGTGGGTTACTGTTTATACAGTCAGACAAAAAGAAATACTCAGTCATAATTGGGTCTTTTTTGGGGCAAGATAGAAGTATTTAGATTATAAAAGATTTTCAATGCAGTCTGAGAAATGTACCACCATGACACCAGTGTTGTTAGTCGTGTATAGATTTGATTGTAGGATGAATATAAATGAGAAATTAGTCTCTATTTATGAACATTTTCTTAGTTGGCATAAAAATTAATCGTGATTATATTTAGGGGCGTCCCGATCCGATATTGATATCGGATATTGGTCCGATATCAGCCAAAAAATGAGTATCGGATTTTATCAGCCTGCATAAAAAATGTCCGATATAAGCAGTTCAATCCAGCAGTCCACTGACTCAGCTCCAGCTTGGATCCAGCATGTAGCGCTCACGTGATCACAACAACATGCTGCGCTAACAAGTTAGCAAGAATGTCGGCAGAACTTTCTATTTTCATCAGAAACAGAGTTGAAGCTAAGTGCAAAGTTGTCATGCACAAGTTTTCTGAGGGGGAACACAGAACTGTGAACGTTTTAAACCGGAGCAACAACTACTCTCCACCCTGGCAGCAGCTTTGCGGTTCGGCTCAGTTCGTTCAGCCTCGGTCCAGTGACCGCACACAGCCGCGCTGTTTCAGAACTAGGGCTGCCACGATTAATCGATTAATCGACGACTAATTGATTATTAAAATAATCGATGACTAATTTAATAATCGATTAATCGTTTTCTTTTTTTTGTTGTTCTTTACTTTGTTTTTCTCTCCAAACTGCTTTGACACCTTCCACTGCCACATCTGCCTTTCTGTCCTTGACACATATGCACAGTAGTGGTAACTGGGGTAGGCCGTGGACGTCACAAGACATTATACAGACAGGCTCTGGTATCATGGCTACCTGGCAACGGAGCTCAAAAGTGTGGGATCATTTTAAGAAAATGAAAGAGAAACCTGTGCAATATCTGCAGAGCAGAACTTGTCTTCCACAGCAGTTATTTTTAATTAACATATAGCTAAAATCTAACGATGGTTATATAATAGCAGCTGCATTCTGGCGGGATAAGCTGGATGTTTATATTCAATTAACGAATGATCTGATTAGTCGACTAATCGAAAAAATAATTGGTGATTAATCGATTATAAAAATAATCGTTTGTGGCAGCCGTATTCAGAACCTCCTCTCAGGTCCGGTCGGTGGTTCTAAGCTGGCAGAAGCGAGGACAGCACGCTTACAGTTTTGACATCCCGTGGATTAGCTCTGGGATTGATGGACAGAAGAAAGGAGAGCACAGCTTTTGATTTGAAATATGAGCGCGACATGATGAGAGCAGTGCTAAAAACTGCTCTCTGCAGGAGCGAGAGGCTAATCTCTACATGATGCTCAGAAAATGCAGCAGTAAGAAAGGTAGCTATCAATTTAAATAACTGACTAATTCTTACTATTTATTTTTTGCTCTTGTTATTAGAGTGATGATTAATCTGTTTACACACTTGTTTGAGTGAAGATTAAGTGCAATGATCGCGTTGTTTTAGTTACAGTCAGTAAAATTGGAGCTGTGGACTCTTAACTTTGAACAGACAATAATGTGGGGTTTTGTTTTGTCCCCACCTTCGGTTTTTTTCCACTATAAAGCAGCACCAGGCTGACAGGTAGTAAAACAATAACCAAAGTGATTTTGAATTGTTATTTTATACTTTAAAATAACATTTTGTTTTTATTGTGTTTTATTTTTCAGGGTATTATAATTTATTTTATTAAACTGTATAATGTTCTTCAGTTTAAAATGTATGTGATCCATTGGTTAAAAAGAAATGGGTCAGTTTTTCTCATACCTACTCTTTTACACTGTTTGACTTGATCAAGACTTTTCTAAGTTTATACACTACAAAATAGGTAAAAGTGTGTGACTTGTACTGTCATGGTAACGGGTCAGTATTGGTATTGGTCAATATCGGTATCGGACAGTTCTCAAAGCTGTAATATCGGTATCGGAAGTGAAAAAGTGGTATCGGGACATCCATAATAATATTCGATAGCGATTAATAAAATAAACAATCCCCTGGAGCCCCTGGATGCCTGCGTGCCCTAGTCACACGACCAGTTTAATTCACTCGAGTGGGAAAGATTTGCTCTCTGTAAAAATCTGTTCCAAACTGTGTCAAAAGTACAGACTTCAGGCTGTAAATCAGTTTTTAAATTGTGTTGAAAGGCCAAGTAAAACCGGAGTTATGATAAATAAATTACAGAACTTTTATTAATGTTGTCATATTCAAAGTGGAGAGGAGCACCGAGCAGACTGACCGGGCAARTCAGTCAGTCTRCCTGGCAGCATTAATCATATTAATCRAGTGCCAAAAAATAATCGATTAATATTTATGTGACGATTAATTGCACACGATACACTTTTGCCCAACCCTATTTTTATTAAAGACAAAAATGTGCAGGTGCTAAAGTTTGTCAAGACTAAAAAAACTTTTTTTTAGTTTGATCTTTTTAAAGTTGAATCTAARTACTTGTTTGTGTAATACAATAAATGATGATAGACCTGTATTGACAGTTAAAAAAATAGAAAAGAAAGAAAGAAACGCAGCCAGGTGTTCAGCCAGTAAGCTCAAAGGAAATAAAACTGTTATTGTCTGATTTGTGCAGTCAGACAAACAGAAGAATGTGTTTTTACACATTGRCAATGTTTATTTTTTGTATTTGGAGCAGTCTGTTGTTTCTAACATATCACCAGGACTGTGATTCCTGAACTCCTCGCTGGCATCTTATTAAAGGCAAATTGTCCATGCAGGAAGGGCATCTGGTGTAAAATAAAACAATTGGCAAACCTTTCATCATTACTCGGTGAGGCAACCCCTGCAGAAGGGAGCAGCTGAAAGGACAACACAACAACAAAAGTGATGATGTTCTCTAACATCATCATAGACGCTTACTTTTAGCAGTTCATTAGTATGGCCTCCTCTCCTGTGCCTTTTTAAAAAATGTGTTCTGTTGGACARTCATTGGGGTTTGTTTTTCTCCCTTTGCTGCATCATAAACTTTAATGTCAAGATTTGGCAGGATGACAGGATTTTCTTTCATGCCCTGCAGTTCATTATCGCTGTAAATGATCTGTATTGTTTTGTTTTGTACTTTTACATTCTTACCTGTTCTAGGATATATGAATTTCTCTCATTTTTATCTGAATGTATTTAATTTAAATGTTTACAGTTAATACGTAATAAAAATGCCATTTTTCTAGGCTGAGAAATCTGAGAATTGTATATTCGAAAATGCGTCAAATTTAGTAGTTTTTTAATAGGGTGTTTTATTTTATTCTGTGTCTTAGTAGTTTTACTCTCCGAATTTGACTGACACCAGCCAATTGTGTATAGATTTGATTGTAGGACAAATATAAATGAGATGCTGCTTCAGTCTCTATTTATGAACAATTTCATAAAAAATAGTGCACAGACTGCTTAAGGTCTGTCAGACTAAATAAAAAATATTGTTTTGCTCTAGACAATTGTACTAGTCATTTGATCATTTAAAGTTGAATCTAAATTCTTGTTTGTATAATAGAATAAACGATGATAGACCTGTATTGACAGTAAAAAAGAAAAAAAAAACGCAGCCAGGTGTTCTGCCAGTAAGCTCAAAAGAAATATTTACTTTTGCATATGCCAGTAACTGTTATTGTCTGATTTGTGCAATCAGACAAACAGAAAAATGTGTTACACACATTGTCAGTGTTTATTTTGTGCTTTTGGAGCAGTCTGTCATTTCTAAAATAGGGTTAGAAACAGCACACCTATTAGTTTCCTGCCCTTTTTTTTTAAGTAACAACATTATCTTTGCGGATTTTGTAGCTTGTGGTCACATTTGTATCTGCTGCATGGACAACAACCAGAGCCCAGCGGAGGGAAGTATTGATTTGTGTGTTGTTTGTGTGTGTCTGTAGCTATATCACTTTCTTGATGAGATTTCCCAGAATCTGCAGCTGTTTTTTTTTCCCTCCTGCTTCCCATCAAAACAGCATGTTTATTTATTTTGTTCCCATGAGTTTAAGCCTCTCAGACTGGTGTGAAACTCTAAAAACAAAAATCCTCCTAGGTTTGCAGAGCCTCTAAATACAACTGCTCTTTTGTGAAACGACCCACAAGAAACTATTTTAGCTTAGGCAACATAAACGTGTTAAATGATGGGTTCCAACAGCTGTATTTGTGTTTTGCCTTGCCTCTGGTTTTCTGCTGAAGCTGGTGTGGTTGGCAGGAACACACAAGAAGGCTTTTAATATTCCACCAACTGTGGAACGACTCAAGAGCAAAGCCACGGAAAAGAAACCACAGCATTCAGATTATTATTATTATTTTTTGTTGTTTTGCACGTTGAAACAAAGAAATCTCATTATGTTTGAGTTAGCCGTGCTGAGGAGCTGCAGTCCAAATATAGATTAGATTCTCCGCAGGATCCTGTCCTTCAGTTTGTACGTGGCCAGAACAATGCACAAAAGAAAATCAATTACCGTGCATGGCAACGCAACACCCAGATAAGTAGTGTTTATCTCTGAATAGCAACTCCTTTTAAAAACATTAGATTTGTTGTTGCACTAAGTTCAAGCACGTGTCATTTTGAAATTCCTTCAGCTACTGCAAAATTCTGCCAGTCATCGGGGTTTGTTTTTCTCCTTTTGCCTCATTCCACACTGTAGTGTCAAAATTTGGCAAGATGACAGGATTTTCATTCATGCCCTGTAGTTCATTGTCGCTGTAAATGATCTGTTTCTTTCTTTTTTTCTTTTTATTTTTTTAACTTTTAAGGTCCACAGGCACATAAGTTATGGGCAAAATGTAGGAAAAAGAGATGAAACCAGAATAAGCCACAAGCTTTGCAAACATTAACGTAGCTTTAGGTCAAAGTGAGACTTATTTTGTCACTTAGACTTTGTGCTTTTGTTTTCAGTGCATGTCGTTACTGTAATCGGCCGGTCAGCGTACTAAGATCAGAGTTTAATGTAGTTTAACAGAATGTTTAAAGCAGGGGTGCCCAAACATTTTCCCCGAGGGGGCCAAAATGAAAATTTATCCATGGCTGCGGGCCAAATGCATTTATATAATACATGAAATACAAATACTTTTTAAAGTAAAGTCCTTTATTTTTAACGATTAAGCTGTGCAATGGCCCTCTTTTGTTTTAGTTTGTGCAGTTGGAGAAAGTCTGCCATATGCTCAAGTAGCAAAGGCTCATGGGACATATCATAAATTGATAAAATATGAGTTTTTGTGGCCTTTATAAAGTGTGCAAATCTACATGCGGGGTTAAATCCGATCTAAATATTTCTTCTTGTCGTTTCATGTTTCATGTTTAATCCTAATAAATCAAAGATACGTATGTCAGCACCATGACTGAAAACTACCTTCACTACAGCCCTTTTATATAGTCATTTGACCAATGGAAATACTGTTTCTACCTGTAGGATAACAGGTTACAACCTTGTAACTTTGGCAACTGTTGGTGGGCCAAATCAAATGGCTTGGGCCCCACTTTGGGCTCCTCTGGTTTAAAGCCTGTCTGGGCTTGTCAGAGAGGAAACCAGTCAAACTGAATAACAGATTRACAGAAAGCAAAACTCTAAAAGCACACATGTACGTGCAGTCTCACAGTACAGTTGTAGTGTTTATTTTTTATTATTATTATTTAATTTTTTTGCGTATTTGCATGTTGTGTTGACTTTAAAAATAATTACACTGGGAAGCTGGTTCTAAGTTGGTGTGGGCAATTATGGTCCTCGAGTAGTGCCRCCGTCCTGAGCGGTTTACTTATCTTGCTCCAACACACCTGATTCACTGTCACTGATTGTAATCACCCATTGATTCAAATCAGGTGTGTTGAAGCAGAGAAACCCCCTAAAACCTGCTTGAGGACCAGGCTGCTCWCCCCTGTTCTAGAATATGAGTAATATGATTTTCTTTAAATATTGCCTATTCTGAAAGTTTGAGTCTTYTTAGTTAGGCCATGTGCTTCACTCTTGCAACTTTGTTCTGTTAATTCCTTTCTTTGGATTTTTAACAATTCAGTTGGAGCTGCAGTATGTTATGATCAATTTCCATTAATTATAAATACATATTTTGTAGGGGTGCAACAATACATGTACCCGTATCGAACAGTGCTTTAGGTTCAATACACACTTGYATCGAACAATACAGATTTTTAAAATTTACTTTATCAACTTGTCTTCTGAAGATGCTCTGTGTTAAAGGATCAGTGGATCTGTGTTCGACTACTCCACCTAGGCTGCATTTGTTGGCACAGATCCACTGAGAAACTTGCTGTTTCAGCAACATTTAATTTAAAAACTGTACTTTTGGGGTTAAACAAATGTTCATAATTAATTTAAATGAAATACAGTTTAAAAGGGGCATGGAAATTTCTCTTTTTTGTATCGAAAAAATATCGAACCATGAGACTAAATTATCGAACCGAATCGTGAATTTCCTGTATCATTGCAGCCCTAATATTTTGGTATATTTGGTATTTGGCGACCTGTTTTTTCCCCTCCCAACTAACTGAATTGCTTGGCTTAATAAAACAAGAGAATTTGGACACTTTAATATACAGTAGATGAGCATTCTTAATTTAAAAAAATAATTAGTGGTTTGCAGTAAGATGCCTGTGGCTATTGTTGCCGCTGCAATATTTTCTACTCAGTAATTGGATAAAGATGGATAGGCACAGTCAATTTATTCTTAAGTGGCAAATATTAATCTGATTGATTAATTGGCTGACTAATACGCATACCTTTTTTTAAAAAGTTTCTGTGATGGTCAGTAACTCAATGAATAAAACTTTGGGTTTATCAAATGCAGGTGTTTTGATGCAATAATTTGCACATTAGAAGAAATGCAGCACAACAAGCGTTTAAAAGCATGTGATGTTAATGTGACAACAGAGTATTTTTCACCCCACTAAAATAATGGCTGCGTTAAAACTAGGAAAATCACATGTCTGCTGCTTTTAAGAATAATGAGCACCTTTTTTTTAAAGAACAGAGTTTCACAACGACTCGTAAAATCCTGTGAACAAAACAGGCAGACAACACAAGTGATAAGAATTTTAATACACAGGATGATAAGCAGGTGGGTCAGAGAAACCCACGAGTGTCTTCCAATAACTTTTTTTTGAAATGTAGAGTTCATAAGAGTCTCATTCACTGAGAACACTGGTGAAAAATCTTTACGAACAAACAAGGAAAGCCTGGCAGATTTTTGTTTAAGCCATTAAGCTCTGACTGGAATAGCCTCGTCTTTGCCGCACCCTGTGCTGTGTTACCTTTTGGAAGGAGATTTGTCATTTTTTCCATTGAATCAAGTATTTCAGTCGTGTTTCTTGTCTGTCATTCAGACTTGTTTAACTTATTTGTCTTACTTATTTTTATACGTAGACTCCTGCAGATATTTATTTTAAGAATGGCAAAGTCAGCGACAGAGGTCATTCCAGTCTCTCTCTCTCTCTCTCTCTCTCCCTTTTACTTTATCAGAAAACACAGCTACGTTTAGTTAATGCTGTTGTTTGAGAAATGCTTTTGCAATGCATTTTTTTCATATCGGTGATTTATGTTTTTTCTTTTACAAAATAAGGAAATGTGAGCATAATGATTCCATCGTTTTTCTGGGTTTGTAGCAGCATTTATAGGTTTAAAATAGCATGCTTTGACTTGTGTTTAGCATCCAGTCTGAGGACAACACCCAGAGTGTTTTTTTTTCCTTCCTTGTTCTTGTTTTCTGGCAGTCTCACTTGTGGGTTTGGTTTTTATCCATGAAAGTAACGTAGTTTAACGGTGTAAAGAGCAAACCAGCTAAACCTGTGTGCTGCTGCTGCAATACTTTAAAGAATCAGCAAACATTATGTTCATCACACCCCTACTGGAAAAAAGTGAGTCTGGGAGCTTTTGGACTAAAATGTCCAATCAAAAATACTTGTTTATAGTTTGCTTCCAAGAAACCAGACCTTTTTGGCATTTTTAAAATGGTTATAATGATTATCCAGGAGTCTCTTTCAGATGATAAACTGCTTATGTTTATATGTGCTGAGTKTCCTCTGTTCTGTGGTTGTTCCTCACAGATCTCTTGTTTGTGGCTCACGATGTCTTAATGTGGCGGCACTGTAATCAAAAGGACCTTCAGTCTAAGATTAGAAGACCCTGGCTCAGCCAGATGACAGCTATGCCTCGCTTGAGCACCATTCCCACGCCAAACCCCAACCGTGACCTTGTCTGGCTCGTCTGTGTTTTTCTTTGCTTCTCTACTCTACATGCTCAAGCTGATATAGGTAAGAATAAAACTAAACTGATCAGTCCAAGCTGTAGAGAAGAAAATAAAAGTATATTTAGGAAAACAAAAATCACTGGTTCTGTTGGATTTTATTAATTTATTTTTGTCAAATACCCTACTTTCTAACTTCTGATCATTTGTTTTCCAGGTCTTACAGTACCCCAGCAAGTGAGCCTTTCACCCGACTTCTACAAACAACAACTCTCCATATCCTGGTTGGGAGGATCAGCCTCAACCTTTGACATTATTATTATAAGAACTGAATTCAATGAAACTGTTTTCTATGTAAGTACTTTTTATGTTTTATTTTAGGTTCGTTTCGCTTTTCTGTGAAACGGGTTGTACCTTTTGCTTTATGGGGTTTTGAGGCATATTTGTGGTAAAGAAATGTGCATTCATGCACTTTAGTTAACTGTTATTGATTGGCCTGAACCTTAGTACTAATCTGAATGTGGGATGTGTTTAGTTAAGGCAAGCAATAATTCAGGATTTCTATTCCCACGTTAGCTAAAACTTTGACTCCACAATATCGCACATTCCATGATGATCTGCCTCATTTTTTCTGTGTTTTCTGTATATTTGTAGGACACTGTGTCTGCAACAGTAAATCAGGAGACTGGCCAGCACCAGTGGACTTGGTCCTCTGAAGAACCTCTGGAATGTACATCACTGTCAGCTAAAATCTGCTCAAGAGCTGGGCAGGCAACAAGTGAATGGAGCGAAACTCAGATACTTCCAGGTCAGTCGACAAGTTTCAACTTTAGTATCGTTGTTGCCTTTTCTGTAAAAAATTGTAACAGTTTTTTTTTTATTTTTCATATAAATGCATTTTACAGCAGACCTCGGCTCAGACTGTACTGTTTCTGTTCATCATTGTCTCTTTAGGCAGAGATGTCCCCAGTAATAGAAAGTTTCAGATGTATCCCCAGGACAGAATTGTTCCTGTAGGGGCCAACACGACCTTCTGCTGCATAGTGGAGGAGGGGAAGACCTTTAAAAGCATCTACTACGGCAAAACAGAAATGAAAGTGAAACGGTTGAGTCGGCGAAGTTATGCAGTTACAGCTGTCAATCAGGAACCATCGGGCTCAACGGGAGCTAATGTTTATTGTCAACCGGTCGACGTGAATGGAGCGATATCTGGAGCCGTTGTGTTTGTTGGGTGTAAGTTACGTGTGTGAATTTGCACACAAATGATTGATCTAAAATGGATCCGTTTGGTGAAATATTTTGGATAACGCGTTCTTACAGATTTTTGTCTCCAGAGTAAATCTTGACGAGTTGTTTCTCTTTGCAGATCCACCACAACCCACTGATTTTGTCTGTCAGACTCGTGATCTGGTCTCAGCTGTGTGTCAGTGGAATGAGGGGCGAGACACTCACTTGTCTGGCAAACGAAGAACACGATACTCAGTAACTGGAAGGTACAGAGTCGCACACAAAGTGTTTACTTTTACAAGGTTTTGTTCTTGTGATCATCTGTTGGACATCAGCGATGGTTGAGAGACATGAAACAAAATACGAAATATAAAAAGAAAGACTTTTAAAAAAGTCATGCAAAGACTTAGATGAGTACATGTTTCCTTTCACGAGTGTTAAAAAGCCCTTCGAATGTAGAACTGTATTGAATTGGGACATCCTGCAAATTAAAAACCTACAATACATTTTCTTAAATAGTCAACATTTTTGCCATTTTTAGAGCCAAAAGAGGCTCATTGAACTGTTCACACTCAAAAGGCTTCAAAAAAGCAAAACGTTTCTAAAGGTTCTCTGTATTTCCCAGTGGAAAGGATGTGCCATCAAAGAGGTAGCTGCACTCTGTCACTCAGCACTTWAGATAATGGCTCTCTAGTATTTATTATAGTTTCATCTGATTGTTCCTTAAAATGTGTTTATGTACAGAAAAAAAAACAATGAGAGGAAGATGAGAATTATAAAGCTTTTAGTCTGAGTAATTTCTAACTTCTGTGTGTCTGTTTGATGGTTATTGGCTGCTTTTCAGACCATTTCCAGAAATGATCTGGAAGCTGGCCAAACATATGCTCTTTAGTCTAGTTTAGATGAAAACTTTGCAGGGATTATGTTTTAATTGTTGTAATGATGTGCTTTATTTCTAATTGCCACACTTGTTTTTGTGTTTGTAGAAATTGTTCTGAGAAGAACACAGAGCTGAAGTGCAGCCTGCCTCAGTGGGACGGTAACTGGACTCTGGTAGCTGTTAATCCCCTCGGTCAGTACAGCCTGACTGACTCAGCTGAGCTTAGTCACAGAGGTAGGCGGCTGCACCTTATTGCCTTTGTTCCAGACATCGATTCCCATAAACCTACTGATTATAATTTGATTATACGAGTGGAGAAAAGACCATGCTTCAGGAAAAGGTGAAACAGTTTTGCTTTGCATTTAGTTTTTATTCTTCTACTGTTTCTTCTCAGTGTATCCAGTAGCACCAGCTAATCTGACCGCTGCTCTCCATGCCTGGAATGTTACTCTGCTCTGGGAGTGGAAATACAAGAGCTATTCCTCCCTGGATCTTGCCTGCCAGGTAGAGTTAACGACCCAGGGACACAAAACAATGGTAAGATTTTCTAACACAATGTATAAATTTGCTTTCAAAGCAGTTATGTGCTTCACTAAATAAATCTGTTTGTGTCCAGCGTATCTTCTCAGGTTTGGGTCTTCAGTCTGTGGTTCTATTGGACCTGCAGCCCTATGAGGATTACAGTGTTCGGGTTCAATGTAAATCCCAGAAGAACTTCTGGAAGTGGGGAAACTGGAGCAATAGCTTTTCCTTCAAAACCAAATCCGATAGTAAATATTTTTTTTAATGTTTCTTTTAGTTTTTTGTTTTTTCATTTGGTAAAAAGTTTAGTGAATACGTGTTTTTCCTTGATTATTCAACAAGTATGCATGTTGATGACTAGTGTGGTTAATCTTTCGTACTATTGCTGTTGAGTCGTCGTCGTTAAAAAGCAGAATTGTCCTTAAATGTGGCCATCACATCAAACCAAGGTTTAGGTCACAAAGTGCTMTGTGGAGAAATAGGCAGATATCTGTATAGTTATCTTATTAAAACATTTGCAACAATTGCTTTTTATTAAAATACAATTAATAAATGTATTATCTACTGCTCATTTAAATTTAAGCTCCTTTTTTGAGCAATATCTATAAAAAACTTGATTTTAAGCATGAAATCCTAAACTTTTTGTCATTCTCTCTGTAAACTAGCAAAACCTTCTTTTCTTTCCAGCTGGTAAATCTTAATATCTAAATATTATTTGATGTTTCCTCTTTAAAATGACATCAAATATTTCTCATTAGAAAAAACTGAAATTGGGGTTTGGACTAGTGTTCCAGGGGTTATCTTGATTAGGAAGACAAATAAAGGCATATCTCTGGAACCACTCATGATATCAGGATGATCCTGGTATCAACATGTAGCTTAAAAAGCCAAGAGTGTGAAAATAGGCTTAGCTCATTTTGACCAAATCTGACTGGTGGGTCACAAATGTACTGTTGACTAATTTGCAATCATGTCATATTTTAGTTCATTTATAYATATTTTTTCTGTCTGTTTTTAGTTCCAGATGCCCCTGATGTGTGGATGTGGATGAACAGRGACAACACTGGGCTGGTTGTTTGGAAAGTAATGATCTTTCTCATTTTTATATTTTGAATGTATTTAATTAAAATGTTTACGTGTAATAAAAATGCTACTTTAGTTTTATTTTATTATAATTTTTTTTGTCATTTTCAAGTATATTTAAACTCTTGTGAATATCCACCATTAACATCACATAAATGTAAAAGTGATTAAAAAAAATCCTAATTTCCTCTAAATTTTGWTTGTATTTCTTTTTAGCCTTTAACACGACAGCAGAGCCACGGTCAGATCACGGATTTTGAAGTGACTTTATGGAACACTAAAGAAAATCTGCRGCACACACAAATCTTCTCATCGGATACTTACTCTGTCCCAGTCAACCTCACACAAATGGCCTCATTCAGTGATGACGACAAGGTCATAGCATCCATCGTTGCAAAGAACACTGCAGGGGCGTCTCAGCCTGCAAGTTTACTGCTACGCTTGATAGGTTTGTGCAACAGTATGAGATGTGTTTTGCTTACTAAAAAGTATATAGATTATAATCCTAATTACAAACTTTAGTATTTTGTAGATTTTTAAATTAACAAAATGAGTTGGTCTCACATACAAAAAAGCATTTGTCTTGTTTGATGCCTCTATATTACTACAATTATACTTTTTTTCCCAGATATGGAACCCCCTGTTCTCTCCAGAGTAGAATATACCGACAGTGGTTTCCCTCTGATCTGGCAGCAGAATGCCAGCATCACATGTAGTTATCTGATCGAGTGGGTCGATGCCTCGTGCAGGCATGACTGCCCAGTGGAGTGGATCAGAGTGAAGGCAGGAAGCACAAATGCTTCTATTGAGTCAGGTATGTGGAGCATGTAGGCTTGGAAAAACACAGTTTTTCCCAGCAAGTTTCAAAAGAACTGTAAGTCACTTTCTCCATCTTTATCATTTACACAAACCTAAGTCTTATCAAAGCTTTTTGTCAAAAGAAAGCTGTGCAGTGTGTCATTTTGCTAAACATTCGATAATCATTCTTTTTATGTTATCAGTCAACTTCCAGCCTGGTGTGAGATACAACCTCTCCCTGTACAGCTGCCCTTCAAGTTCCCCACAACTAATTCAGCGCTGGCAGGGATACTTACTGGAGCTAGGTAAGGCTGGAAAACTAAATCAAACTACATAATTTAGCATTTTAGTCTTTATTTCCATTTTATGTGTTACAACACAAACCTCAATTTGTTTAATTTCTTGTGATCTGCGCAGTCCCGTCCAGTTCTGTCCCCCTGTTGGTCAGTCAGGAGGGTTCTGACGTAGTACTTACCTGGGGAGAGATTCCCCTGGCCAACAGAAGAGGCTTCCTCCTGGGTTACAATGTTTACATCAGTCATGGTTCCCAGCTCTCACTTATTGGTAAATGTTGTTTTAAGCAGCAGATCTGTTCAAGTGAAGTGTTTGAAAAAGGAAATGTTCACAAACCAAATTAATAGATTAGTTTTGTTACTGGTTTATATTGGTCTTTGTTTTTATTTTTGTCTCTTTTTTTTTTTCTCTCTTTCAACAGCAAATCTGTCAGACGTTGGTACAAGGAAATACATCGTAAAGGATCTCTCTGTAAACTCCTATAAATTTACAGTCAAGGCCTACACTTTGGCAGGCGAGGATACAGGAACCACTGCGTCCATTATGATGGAACCAGGCAGTATGTGGTCAAATCATTCATCCAAGTATAGTTTTACTACCATTTATTTTGTTTATTATTTTAAAGGTACATAATATGTTACTGTAAAAATGCTTCTATGTGTCACAATATAAGACAATGTTTTACATTTATATAATTTTAATTATTTTATCTGAACAACAGGTGGGCTAATCATGGACATTTTGGGTTCTTTGGGAATGGTCACTTTGTTACTGTTCATTGTTTCCTTCATTTGCTACAAGAAGAGAAAATGGTAAGACTTGTATGTTCTTTGTTCCTGATTAGTGTCTTTCTCATTTCTTTATGTTCTTGGAATTGTAAAAACGACATGCCTTTCTTAGAATCCACAAATACTAATCGTACTGGAAGAAACTGTGTACTTGATAATTAGTTTTGTACAAGTAGGAATGTAAAAATACATTGATACACATCAATATATTGATTAACTCACTGATTCAACTACATCAAGACAAAATGACAACATCAAACCATAACGTCATCATATGGCCAATGTGGATCAATATATGCCCCTCTAACACAATGATTGTGTTACATGGGCATATTATATTGCATCATATCAATCGCAATTGTGAATTGAATTGAATCTAAATCGTATCATGACAGAACATGTGGTAGCGAGAATCATTGCATCGTCATCCAAACAAATTGATATAATATTGTATTATTATAAGCTGGTGWTTTACACCATTAGTAACAAGTAATGTTTTGTTTGTTTCAGGGTAAAAAGGGTATTTTATCCAGATATACCTGAGCCCAAGCTCTCTAGTGATTGGTCCAGAACTCAGGTACAGTATTGTTCTAAACCAGTCTAACAGTTGTAGTGCAAAACTTTTTGATCATATCTAAATGGACAAAACACTTTTTCACTTCTTTTATTCAGGGACCTTTGGATGTGAAGCCATCTCCCCACAGCATGGTCCACATTGTTGAGAAGCCTGAGCACGATTCTATTAAGGACGCCCTTGTTGTCATTCCTGAGGAGGATGAAGATGATGAAGGGCAGGGCATTGCAGATGATCCAGTCGACACCGATGAGCCACAGTCATTGCGCTACTACAACCAAGTGGTGGATGAGCGCCCGATACGGCCTCGTGTTCCAGACTCTTCCGTGTCCTCTGCGTCTTCGATGGATTCAGCAAGCACAGATGTAACGTATACAGGGATCCAGACTTCCTGTTCTTCTCTGGTCTTCCAGCAGGATCCACAGAGCACATCTGAGGGCCATCAGCCCGATCACTCGGCCAGCTGTGGGAGCGGAGGAGGGGGGTACCGTCCCCAGATGCACCACATAGCTTTGAGTGATAACACTGGCTGCGATTCTCCTGAGCCTTTGCTAGAGCCCCAGGCTATTAGTTCTGGGGGCTACAAACCCCAGAACTCTTGGCATTTTGACTCTCCTACTGAAGAGGAAAGGGGCGGCCTTGCCCCCTCCCTCGGATCGCCTGTCTCAATTGCCTCTACTCAGTTCCTCCTCCCTGATGAAGAGGATTACAACGAGGAGAAACCACAGCCGTTATCATCGGCAGCGACCTGGTTCAGCAACCTGATGTCATCTTCCAAACCGTAATATCATCTCATTTTTCCTATTAGCAGACAGGCAATGGAGGTTAACAAAAATGTTTTTTTTTCTGTTACCAGTGTCATGTAACAAGAAAGAACCCTCCTTCCAGATGTAGCACAGCATTATCACTTGCATTAAACTGCAGGTTAATTGTTCTTTTCAAATGTGTTTATACTGAAATTATACAAATATTTGGTCATTTCATTCAATATAGATCAAAACATGTATTATATAGAGAAACTCTATCCTGACAGCAAATCTCTGTAGTTTGGTTTTAGACGTTGAAGTGGCTGACTCCCTTTTGAAAGCCTTTCTTGTGACATGCTATAATGGGCATTTCATTATGGTAAATATTGTATTTCAGCTCTGCTGATTTAGCTTGTKTTTCAGATGTTTTTTAGCATTCTGAGGGGAGAAAAAAAAGTTCAGTTCAAAATTATGGGTTTCAAACTCAGTGGCAGCAGAAAAGATGCACAGCCTGATTGGCTGTTAAGCGTCGTAATGAACTCTGGACGAGCCAAATGTGATGTTCACTGTTCTGAAGCCTAAATGCTTAGCAAAGCCTTACATGTAGAAAGCAATCCATATCCTAATTTTTGGTGTAAAAGCACCTTACTGTGATAGAATTATATTGAATAGTAATGGCTTGAACTTACACACTACATTTTAATGGTTTACCTTGGGAAATAAGTCATAGACTCTGTTTATGGACTGCAAAATGCAATGTTTTTTTTGCGCAGGTGTGTATTGTATGCGGGGGATGGTTTGAGGTCATTTATRTTGTGTTCAACTGCAGTTTTTGAAATGAAAAATAWGTCTAMAAACCCTTAAAATAATTTAGATACCCATTACAGCATATGTGGCTTCCACCACTGGTGTTATTTTATACTGCTGTCTGCTGATGAGTCACTAAAAAAATGTCAAGTTGCTGTTAAAGGGGTAAAAAAATAAAATAAGGAAGAGGTTTCCATTCTTAACTATTGTTTTATTACTGTCTAAATTGTAATGTATTATTWTGAAATGCACTTAGAAATCATTTATTATTTTACACAGATATAGGAGTGGTGCTTTCTGTTACAGTCTGGAAATCTGAACTTTTCAGATATACACTAATATAAGCTAGAACATCACATAAACTGATGTAATTTAATGAACAGATGGATTATTGTTAAGTATTTAACCTGTTGTTCTAATTTCAGGCCAGTGTTCTTTTTTTTTTTTTTCATCTTGTTGAGCGTTTTTGATGATAAGTGTTAAAGATTTATTTTTATTCATGTTTTGTGTGTACAGTGAAGAGGTTGTCATGACAAAATAATGCTTCCAATGATTTTCACCAGATCACTTTTTACTGCCTTACCCCGAGATGTTTAAAAATGCAACATTCAAAATGCACTGTATTTGGTGTTTAGATTCTACTGGAGTGCTTTGAGATGGTGACTTGTAATCATGTTTTTGCTTCTTTTGAAATAATTTTAGTTGACAATGATGTCTAAATTACCTTTTTTTTTTAAAGGTTTTCTTGTCTTTTGAGTGCAAACTGGCACCTTCTTTTAATTTTACAAAAAAAGGGACCAAGGAGGAAGCACGTGTTGGGAAATGAGCTCGACAGACCTTTTAAAAGAAATCAGTATATTTTATGACAAAACCTGAAGCAGCGTTTATATGCAAAGTTTGTTCTTTGACATGTTTGGGTTTATTTTTTTGGATTATTTTTTGTTTGTTTGTTTCATGATGTGTTTGAGTCWAGCCAGAGATTGTATTTTGTGGCTGACAGTGGTATAATGGTTTTAGTACCTCCAGCCAACAAGCTTTAAATAAATATACTGTGACATAAAAATATATATTTACCACATTTGATGTCGTAAAAAATTTGGTCAGTCCTTTCACAATTAAAATGTTTTTTTTAATTATTTAAATAAAGCAAAATTTAACTTGTTTAATTGGGAGAAAAAGCCCAACTTTTGCACAAAACTTGTGCTTTTCAATATAGTTGTAGGGCTTACTTATATATTTTTTTCTTTTTGTGTCTAAATGGCTACAGATTGTTTTTCCCTTGAAGTGTGCAATTCTTAACAAGCATTAATGTAAAGAATATGAGATTGTTTTACAAGATTTGTGTAATTTGCACCTGTTTTTTTTTTACTAGGTAGGTTTTATGCAACTAACTGTACATAAGATTAATTTTCTTAGTTTTTGTCCTACACATCCACCAAATGCAATTAATGGCATCAGATAGTCCCATTAAAACATACTTGTGTGCTAAAACACAGGCTTTAAAAACAATGTAAACTGAATTCAAATGTTTAAAGTGACCTTTTTGAAATTGCCGTGTTATAGAAATATTGACTTGCCAGAAAACTCACATCCATACATGACAACCAGCTAATGAATGTCCTTTTAGTCTTCTTTCCTTTTTGAATATCTAATAAAACTATAATTTCTATATAAAAATGCTTCCTAACATCTCATTCTCTGGCCCATTAAGTTGTTGTAAAATTAATGCATGCTGTCTAAACAAACACAAACTGGTTTGTACACTTTTAAAAATCCTTGATCATGTTACACACGATATAGCTTTAAAACACTAACATTGCATGATAACAAAAGCATTGTACATCTGTACAATTTTTTTTTCTAAAAATGATGTAAAATATTTTGCAGATTATTTTATTAATGAACTGAACAGACTGAAAATTGCCTCTGAGTGAATATATAAATGTTAGCATTGATACCAAAAGTTGCTATGTTACTTGTTTAAAGGCAATAAAGTGATTTGTCTGGATACTTGTTGTTTTTTTTCTGTCTCTGTTTTTTCCACGTGTCCTGTTGAAATGTTGGCCTCTGCAGTGTTCCATAGAAACCCTGTTTATATGTCACCAATGGTAACGGGACAGTTCAGTTTCTTCGGGCGGTGTTAAAAGATTTTAGCCGCATTTGGAGAGTTTAAAAGATGACTGCGCGAAGTAAATATAGTATAAAGTGAAATTTATTACACGTTCACACTATGTCGGAAATACTGTGCAAGTGGCTGAACCAGGAGTTGAAGTTGTCAAAGACCCTAGGTATGAGTGACTGAGCAAACCATCGCTCTTTTTTTTTTTTTTTTAATTTTTATTTTTATTTTTTTTTTATTAAGCTCATGTTAACGTGATGAGTTCGTTGTTGTTGTTGTGGGTAAAGTGACGGAAGTCAGGGCACAACGAGCGGTCATCGCATTTTACATGTATGTTATTGACTGTAATACAATTATTCGACTGGGCACAATATTAAAAATCGTTTTTTGAAAATACCCACATAGCAAAATTTGTCAGGCCCAGCTGTGGCCCAGACATTGGAAACAATAGGGTGGCCCATAACTGGACCAGTTGTGGGACACAAACGGTGGGCAGCACTAATCTAGAAATTAGTTCCACTAGCCCTAAAGCACTAACTCAGATATTTAGATGTAACTCTAAAGCACTAACTCAGATATTTAGATGTAACTCTAAAGCACTAACTCAGATATTTAGATGYAAYTGTAAAGCACTTTTAACCCATTCAACCTATAAACATTCTTCAACAGACAACATGAGTCACATGTTGTTGACATTCCACAGGTGTGTTTGAGTTCATATATGTATTGTCACCTGGTGGATAAGTGACACACATGAACAGAGTGTGTGACAGCTTTCACTCTCAGCTGTTAACATTAACGCTGATCAATAACATTTATAAACCTCAGTTAGTGCTTATAAATTTAGCAAGTGCTAATCCACTAATGAATTTTAAAATTAGCAAAAGCACTAATCAGGAAATTAGTTCCCCTATTAGTGCTTTAGGGCAGTGGTTCCCAAACTTTTTGTCTTCTGACCCACAAAATAATCATGGCAAAAACTTGTGACCCCAAATATTACTGGTCTGAGTACA